CCTTTTACTATCTTACTTCTACTATCCCACATATTGATTTACACTTTTTACGCTCCCTTTATTCACCTTTTATTTCTTACACCAATTCTTTTTATAAACCACATTTCTTACTTTATTCACATTTTGCTTATATAAATATTCAATTTTTCCACTCATTCCTGAAATATATTAGAGAGTCGAACTTTGAAGACGAAGGAGTACAATTGTACAAAAGACAAATTAAACTAACAAAAAAAAAGAAAAAATCAAAGGGAGTACGTCCTAGACCGTGGCTATCGATCTACCACTCCTAAAATCTAACCAATTAAGCTAGATATCATCGAAGATAATATGTTTCAAAATCATATTCATACCGCAAGCATGAATTGTGTGATTAACAACTTAAGATCATTACGTATGATGTACGAGTACATGAAATAGATGTGCTTGATGTTCACCTCTTAAAGCATGTACATGTGATTTTCAAGTAGTTTGTACGGACGAAATGCATGTGAATCTTGTGCATGCTTGAGATTTGACAATGTGTTGGTATTGGTTACATCACTTGCATAGTTGCATGTGTACTGGTTCTTTTATACGAACTAATTACTAGTTGCATACCATATGATATTTTCGGCATCAATTATTTTCATATATTTTAACTTTTTTTTTTTAATTTTTTTATTTAAATGGGTTGTTGAGAGCTTCAAATAGATAAAGTCTAAGTGTAAATGTATTTTAATAATTCAAATCAAGAAAAAGTTGCACCAATTTGTACTCCTATGTACATTTTTGCATAGATTACCACATGCACTTATATTTGTTTCGATATATTTGTGCCTCTATGTCCTGTCCTATTACATCATTTTCTTCTTTAATCATGTTGATACTTTAAGTACAAATAAATTAAATATAAAGCGTTGTAATAATTCACGAAGTGTTGTATTAAGTATACTCTCTCCGTTCTATTTTTATCTTCTCATTAAATTATTGATATAAGCTAGTTATTAAATTATTGAATTGTTTTTAAGATATTGAATTGCCGATATATGTTGCAAGTATTAAATTATTGATACAAGACATTAGAACGAGTGGCGAGTTAAGCTACGAGATTGTTGATATAAGAAATTATTGTATTATCTATATAGGGTGTGTTCGACAAAATGTAGCTTTAGCTATGGTAGTAGCCGTTAGTTGTCACCTAGTTGTTAGCTGTGAAAATAAATAATTATGTGTACTGTGTTTGTTAAGATAACTGTTGTTAGCTGTAAAATTCTAAAAATAAAGAAGAAAAATTCCAATATCTACTTTCAATCTTCAAAAGCTAATAATATTAACTTTTCACAAAAGCTACTTTAACCACTAAACTCTACTCCCACCACTATATATTGCCAAACACTCATGTTTGTTTTACTTAAGTAATGGTTTATATAAGTCAAACCACTAGCTAAAAGCTACTCAAAAGCTTGTGCCGAACACGCCCATAAGCTATTATATGAATCTGAAACTCATTGGTAAAATCCGAGACTCATTGTCAAAAACCTAAAGCACTTCACGTAATATATATGAGACTCATTGCATATCGTCACACCAAAACAATTGTATGACATGTCGCACATAAATACATAATACCTCTTCATCTTAAATATCTCTTAAAAATAGGTAAAAGTTAGAGAAAGAGTGCAATAACTAAAAACTCATTAGAAATTGATAAACCTTAGTGATCATGCACTAGTGATGAGCCTAATTATAAGGGGTGAAAAGTTAAAATTAAACAAATTCATGACGAAAACAAGGTTGGTGCTTGAGAAAGATACTCACTTTTTTGGGTATGGCTACGAATGTAGTACATATTTGGCCACAAACATTATATTAACAATAGTAAAAGTTAGCTAGCCTTTTACATCATCATACCACATACATGTGAAATGGGAACGTCAATTGCTGGCAAAAATACTTCCTCCTCGTTTTCGAAATAATTGCTATCATTTTCACTTTTATACTTATCAATGCATAATATCGACCTTTAATATTTTATATCTATAATTATTTATCAATAAAATAAAATGAATTTGCGTAACATTCTACATATAATAATATTTGTTTTCATATGTTAGAAAAGTAATATGATCAAAGTAACACAAGTGAATATATAGTATCAACATTTAAATGGTGAATTTTGAGGCGGAGATAATAGTAAAAACCAGTAAAATTATTGTATTAAATAACTCATCAAATTTGAGATATTAAAAAGAGATGGAGTTAAGGATTGAGGGGTTGAATTGTCCCTTTTGTTTAGTGTATTTTGGATCTCTTTTGAAGATTCCTTATCAAAGTAGAGCATCTTTGTGTTGTCATGTTTAGGGATTTACGTGGACGCCTAGCAATGTAGTCCCCTTCAACAATTTATGAGTATGTCCATCTTATAAGGTAGCCTAGGGGACCATATTTAACCCTCATTATCTTTCCTTTCTCTTTAAAGATCAATGTACTCGTCATCTTTTTGTTTTGTGTAGTATATAATGACCATATATCGGGTTACTTTCTTAGAATGGCGAGTGAGTTATTATGTCAAGGGATAGGTGGGAGAGGAACCTCAACTCGAATCCATAACCAGGCGCGTGAGAAGCACGTGACAATGCTACCAGGCCACTTGCTCCCAATAGCTTAAAATTTTCAAATTTTCTTTAATTAGGTCAGGTTTTGTGCAATTTACAAAAACGTTAAATTGGAATAAATTAAATTGGTTTAATTATTCTTTATAACTGACATTGATAGTTTGCTGATTCAAAAGCCTTTTCTTTTACAAATTGTATCTAAATTTCACTAGATCACTATTGATTTTTACTTATCTTTCAATTAGTTTTCACTTAACTTCTCAAAGTGAGGTCATAACTCATGAAGAATGGGGATGAGCCGTGATGAGTAATTTAAGGAGTTTGACCATTTATAATTAAGTATGATCAACAAGGATACATTCCTCCAATCCTCGCGATCGATGTCACTTAATTTATAATTGGGTATTATGCTTTGTATACGAATATCATTTATTGTGTATTGGACCGCCCATAATTAGAAATCTTTATTAGACTAAATCAACAAACGCATATCTTAGTCAGTTCTTACATAAAAAACTGCCAGCTATAGCAAATTGGCGCAAGGTCTTAGACTCTTTGTTAGAATTCTTAGAAAGTATGAATGTGTAGCTGCACACGCTTCCCTTAATATAAGAATGAGCTCATCATGTTAATAAACCACGTTCCTTAAAAATTTTATGAATGTTGGGTGTAATACCATCCAACAAAGAATGTACTTGTATATAATAAGCATGTGCAACTACCATAAGATAATATATATATATATATATACACGTAGTATTTTGGACTGTATTGTGGATTTGTTTATTTAAATTGCACTAGGTTTCATTCATCGTTAGACATGACAAACATATCAAAAGTCTTAAATAGTTTTAGGGTGGTTGGTAATGAATCCATAGTGTAATTTTAAAAACATAGCCCTATATACAGACAAAGTGTTTCCAATTCACTAGGAGGGCGAAAGAACCTAAAAAGAGACACATTGCATTAACTAATGATATGATCCATACGAATAAAATACGTTTAATAAAATCTGACCGAACTTAACCATTTGCCTTGATCATTCATTACAATCTTCAAAATTGCATAATAATGATAAGCTCCTTACTTTCGGTGCTTTACGTAGCAATGAAATTCATGCACCAACTAGCTATTGTCCACCACCCTAACAATAGTGAAGGGGAGGGGAGGGGAGGGGAGGGGATGGAGAGAGTGACCTTCCATTACCTTTCAAACTCTCTAACAATGGAGGGATCTGGTTTTCCTCTATTTTGCTCTATGTCTTATCAAAATAAGGGAAATTATATCCCTTACTTTCCCTCCAAATATTCCTATCCAAACATAGTAAGTCTCTAGGAGAAATGCATTCAAGCTAAGAATCTTTCCTCAGTCGCCTTCCTTAGCCTATAACCTTCCTGAGTCGCCTTGTTAAGCATTAAAACAAGAACTATTAAAACTTAGGTTATGTTCAGTCCAATTTATTTAAACAATTATTCTCAGAATTGACCAGTTCATGCTAGATTTTGATGCAATCATACAAGATCAGACTATATCTTTCTATTTGCGTTTGTTGGTTACTAAATATCATCAATTTGGTAATTGAAAATAATATGAAAATTTCATACTTGGAAGGTACACATTCATCTAATGATAACTCATTTGTTGATTATTTTTTCCTATTATGGATAAATGTATAAATAAGGTCTAAGTTTTTATTTAATAAAAAACGTTTTAAAGAAAATCGATGTGCTACGTGGTGTTCTTCATCTTTCCACACCATCAACTTACATTCAAAAAATTACAAATGTGATATATCTGTATATATACACAATTCAAACATTGTAATCTTAACGCTTTCTTTGGATAACAAAAAAGGAAGAAAAGGAAAGGAAGGGGAGGGAAAGAGGAAAAAGGGGACAATATGAAAAATAAAATTTAACTTAAGGGAGATCGAGTCATAAAATAAACATAAAATTGTTAATTCAATATAATCACTTGGAGTATTGTTAGTTAAAGTGAACAAAACATGACCTCAAAGGTGCTACTCGTAATAAGTCTCTAAATATTTTTTAATTTATGCAAGCATACTCGGTAATCCAGAATCTACAAGACTTCGACTAAAACGGATTCAAGCCGGGTCATGCCTCAATTAGGGGAAAAGCTCTCCCAACAAGTGTTGCCGCATTCCCAAGTCTCAAAATTGAGGCTTTAGTTAAGTTAGAACAATTTTCTTACCAACTGATCTAAGGATTTATTGGTTAGTTTCTAAGATGATATGAAGTAAAACGATAAGTCTCTAAATATGATACGAAATTTCCTAACTTTCAAACCTAGTCGAGTCCAATTTAAAAACTATTTGTATGTCGTTTGAAACTTTGAATCTACCAAGAGTGGACTAATCTCAAGTTATGGGGCAATATGCCAATATGGTGTCTGAAAATTCAGCCCTTCTGAAAAAAGCCCATTTGACGCCTCCACATTACCAAATTTGCAATTTTGATGTTCTTCTTCCTTGTTCTGGTTGTGTTAAGGGGAAATTACTCTTCCCCTTTGTCACTCTTTTGCTATTCTTCTTCCTGCTATGCTAAAACCTTCACCAAAATCATGGGTTTTTGGAATCACCATCTTAGGTTATTGCCCCACAGAAAACACACTAGACTCAGAACAATCTCTCTCTTTCTATCTTCCTGCAGATTCTTTACCACATTGAAGATCTTCAATGGCGAAAATGGGGAAACTGTTGAAGAAATTTCAAAGCTTTTAAAGCATAATAACTGGAGCATTTTAATGGGGTCATCAGACATCATTAAGAAGCTAAACCCTGATGTTGTCCAATCTGTTCTTCATCATAATCAGTTTTCTGATCCAATTCGACTTCTGGGGTTCTTTAATTGGTCGCATTCTCAACTGGGTATTCATCACAATTTGTTTTCCTTCTCAATTTTAGCTGTTCTTCTTTGTAATTCTAGCTGTTTTCCTCTTGCAAATGGGGTTATTGAATGTTTGATTGATACCCGACCGCCTTCTTATATGGTGTTTGATTCATTGGCTAGTTGTGTGAGGGAATATAACAAGTGCGATTCCAGTTCTGTGATTTTTGATATAGTGATTAATGCTTATAAGAAAATGGGGCTCTTAAAAGAGGCTGCTGATGTATTCTTGTGTATTAAAGACAATGATTTTTGTCCTAGTTTGGTTTGTTGCAATTCTTTGTTGTCTGATTTGCTGAAGAAGAATATGATGGGTTTATTTTGGAGGGTTTATGATAAAATGTTAGCGGTTAATCTTGTTCCTGACATTTATACTTATACCAATTTGATTAGTGGTCTATGTAAAGAAGGGAAGGTTGAGGAAGGTAAAAATGTGATTGTGGAAATGGAAGAGAAAGGCATTATTCCTAATTTAGTGACTTATAATGTACTTATTAATGGTTTGTGTAGATCCAAGGCCCTAGATGAAGCTTTGGAGCTTAAACGCTCCATGGCCGAGAAGGGCCTAACTCCTGATAGTTATACTTATTCGATACTCATTGATGGATTTTGTAAAAATAAGAAGGCTTGGGAAGCAAAGTTGCTGTTGGCTGAAATGGTGGGGAGGGGTTTGAAGCCTAACCATGTTACTTACACTTCCTTGATAGATGGGTTCATGAAGCAGGGTGATGTGATAGAGGCTCTCAAAATTAAAGATGAGATGATCGCTTGCGGAATTAAGCTGAATTTTGTGACATATGCTGCATTAATTAGTGGTGTATGTAGGATAGGTGACATGGAGAAAGGAAAAGGTCTATTGTTTGAGATGATTAGGTTAGGGTTAAGTCCTAGTTCCCAAATATACAGCTATTTGATTGAAGGTTATTGTAGAGAAAATAAAATGGAGGCAGCCTATGAGCTGCTTGCTGAGATGAAGAGCATGAATTTTTCCCCTACAGCTTTCACATTTAATGCAATTATCAATGCACTTTGTCATGTTAGAAATGTTCAGTGTGCTTATAATGTTCTACAAGAAATGGTCGTTTGTGGTGTGAAACCAAATGTGGTTACTTACACAACTTTAATCAAGGGTTATGTCCATGGGGGTAACTTGGAGGAGGCAATGAGAATATTTGAAGAGATGAAGGAGAAAGGGACTTTACCTGATGTTTTTTGCTACAACACTCTTGTAATGGGCCTTTGCAAGGGTGGAAAAACAGGAGTAGCAATTTCTTATTTTGATGAGATGGTGGAGAGAGGATTAAAGCCGGATGCATATACTTATGGTGCTTTAATCCACGGATATTGCAAAGATGGGGAAATGAAAACTGCTAGTAGATATCTTGAAGTGATGTCAAGGTGTGGTATCAAACCAAATGATGTCGTCTATGCAGCTTTTATTGATGGACATTGCAAAGAAGGGAATATCGCGGAGGCCTTGTCGTCCTTTGAAGATATGCTGAGGCAGAAAGTACTCCCTGATTTACTTGCCTACAGTGTGCTCATCCACAGTCTCGCTAAGAATGGAAAGATGCAAGAAGCTTCACAGGCATTCATAGAACTTAGGGCTAAGTGTCTGGTGCCTGATGTGTATACTTACAGCTCTTTAATCTCTGGATATTCTAAGCAAGGAGATATGATAAAAGCTCTTGAACTGTTTGAAGAGATGAAGAGGGAAGGTGTTCATCCAAATATTGTCACTTACAATAGTTTGATTAATGGACTGTGCAAATTTGGTGAAGTAGAGAGGGCACAGGAACTCTTTTGCGAAGTCACCACAAAGGGGCTGGTACCAAACAGTGTGACTTATGCTACTATGATAGATGGCTATTCCAAATGTGGGAACTTAAAGGAGGCATTTAGATTGTTTGATGAGATGCAATTAAAGGGCATACCATGTGATAGCTTTGTCTACAATGCCATTATTGATGGTTGCTCCAGAAAAGGAGATTTGGAGAAGGCTCTATCCTTATATCAAGAAATGCGGCACAAGGGTATAGCTTCAATACATACTTTCAATACTTTAATTTATGGGTTTTGCAAGTCAAATCAGTCAGCTGAAGCATTTAAACTCTTGCAAGACATGATTGAAATGAATATTGCACCCACGAATGTGACATATACCATTTTGATAGATCATCACTGCAAATTGGGAATGATGGAAGAAGCTGAAGATCTCTTCTATGAGATGCAAAATAGAAATTTAAAGCCAACTACCATAACTTATGCCTCCCTTTTAAACGGATATAATAGAACAGGTAACGGGCTTAAGTTGATTTCTCTTTTCAATAACTTGTTGACCAGTGGAGTTATGCCTGATGAAGTTGTATATTCCCTAATGGTGGACACTTATCGTAGAGAAGGTAATTGGAAAAGAGTCTTTCAGATGATGGATGAATTATCACTTAAGGGTTTGACATTGAAAGAAAATGTATGGGATTCATTAGTTGAAACCCTAAGTCAGAAGGATCAATTTTCTGAAGTCTTACAGCTACTTGATGATATGGAACAGCAAGGTCTCATGCTTAGTTCTAGTACTTGCATGAATTTAATTCGTGCTTTGTGCCAATCCAGACATTCCGACAAAGCAGCTAAGGTTCTTGATACTGTGATTCAATTTAGATGGGTTCCCAACTGCACTAGCTTGAATGATTTCAATCAGATTCATGACCAAGACAATTTTCAGAGTTCTGATAGCCTTTCAGGTCAAAGGGCATTGAATGTTGCTAATCTGGTGTAAGGTGGTTTTAAAATTGAATCTTATGCTTCCAGCAGGCTCTATGCCTCTATTCCAGGGGATTTCGCACAAGTACATGTAAGTCAGGTTCTTGTACTCCCTTTTTTCTCTCTTTTATCTTAGCAATGATATAGGTCAGATGAGAATACATTGGTTTTGCTACCCCATTTTTTCTCTCTTTGGTCCATATATAACATTCTTATGGAAAAGGATTTGGAGATTATATTTTATACTTATAACGATTGATTGTCCCTGAAATAACACATAATTCTTAGATATTTGTTGCACCCAATCCTTATGAAATTCAAATCACCATATATTGTAGACTAGTAGACGTTTGTAGACCATGGAGTTTGTATTGGTCCAATGGCAGTACTCTTGGTAGGCTGCTTAGGCTCTCTACCATACAAATTTGTATACTTGACATGTGATGTAGTCTTTCCCCTTGTAAAACCTTGCGGTTTTGTTCTTTTATGTTGCCTGGAGGCTCCTTGTAAAACTTTGTGGTTTTGTTCATTAGTGTTGCCTGGTGATTCGGCACCATCCTCACCTATAGTGCTGTGTTATGGAATGAAATGTGGGCCCTGATTACTGAGGTTGCCGTGGGGTGACACATTGATATAATGGGGAAAAATTATTGGCTAGTTTGATGATTAGGGAACTCATAAAGATGGCCGGGTTTTCTTTTGCTTCTTTCGTTTTAAAAGCTCTTTTTTCATTTTTTGCTTGGAGGGAAAACAAAGAGGTTGCGGACTAGGAAAGTGATCAGTGTAATATTTAACTTATTAACTTGTTATTTCCATTGCCAATATAAGGCTTTTCTTTTCTTTTCTTTTTGTTTTTTTGTTATTATTATTTTGTAGAAACATTTTGTGGCTCCTATTTTAAATTAAAGGGTTCAAGCGCTGTTCTTTTGCAGCTTGATGCTTATTTGCATGACTAGATCAATAAACTCTGTAAGATTCATTGTCTGAGAACTTCTAGCTGCCCCTTATTCATGAAAGTAGGCCATGAAGGTCATTAAATATTTTTGCAAGTTCTGTGAGATGCAATTTTTTGTTTCTTGTTTGTCATACTCTCACGCACATCATCTGTTTCTGCTGCTTCAGGGAAGGTTTTGGAAAGGATTACATGTTTTCATTGCACGTGGAGAAAGATAGAGAAGAAGTACCCTTGTGGCCTTCAGGTATTTCTTTTTAATGTGGATTCAGGTTTTCATTTGGTTATGGTATATAATCCAACTGAAATTGTTCATTAGACTTTGTCATTTGTAAAATTTACAAACTTGCCCCATTGATGTTTGTGACATAAAAGGTTTTCCAGATTTCTAAATGCTATTTCCTGCATATTTCAATTCATTTACTGGGGTTTAATATCCTTAGCATTTAGTAACTAGTCTTAAGTTCTTTTAAATGTGCTGGTACATTGACCATTTGCACTGATACCTTGAACTTTTGCCTAGATTACTAGTATTAATGTTTTGTGTATAATGTGCTTATATTGCAAAAAATGTGAGAAATTGCATAATTGAGTAGAAAAAATGCTCGTAGTTTGGCAAACCACCAGGGTCTAATAAATTCCAAAGGAGTGTAACATGGTGAAAAGTATCCAGCTATATATCACTGCTTTATCATGTAATTTGTGGCCTGGTACGGGACATTTGCTATTTTGTTATATTGTGGAAGTTGGAACTCTTGGAAGTTTTGATGTAAGCAAGTGAATCAGTGCCTCTATGAATGTTTAGGTATTTGGAGAAGAAGATATGACACACTGCCACGTACCAATCCTTATTATTGTTCACTTAACAAACTCTTGTTATTCCGTATCATCCATCTCTGTAGAATATCAATGCCATACTTGTGCTTACATAAATCTTTCTTTACTTAGTTTTTGACAGTTTAAATTCTACCCTTGAGCAAAGGGTCTCCTAAATTTTCCTTAAAAATAAAATAAAATAAAATTCATTACAACATTATGGTATTTAGATACTACTGAAATATTACCAGTCAGTTTTGAATATCATACCATGACTAATTTGGTCTTGACAAGCGAAAAGTCACATACATAGTTGAAATAAAGAGTACAAAACAAAGAGGACTTGTAAAATCCACACAAAAGCCTTGACTTTAAGATGGCTCCTCACCTTCCCTATAAAGTTTGGAAATGAGATGTATAACAGTATAACCTTGCTCCCTTCGTCCTGAATTAAGTAGGCCATGTTTCACTTTTAAGTTTGTCCCAAAATTATAAGCCACTTTCTAAATTTTGAGTCGAAAATTTGAACTATCCCATGAGATATGACCCTTAAATGTTACCCTTGAAAATATTTCAAAAAACGAGGACGTTGGTAAAGGTAAAAATGTAAAAAGTTGAATTGTTAAGGACAGTTATGTTATTCTAATTAAATTCCTTGAAAAAAAACGTCAATTCTAATGTGGCCTGTCTTTTAAAGATGGTGGAGATAGATACTAGTTATGAAATATATACTTATAATACTTCTACCTCAATCATTCTTCTATCTCTATTGTTGATGGTTGAGTGACAGACGGAAGATGGAGCACTTTATTCTTTTCTTTGTTATTTTTATTTTAGCACTTTAAAGCTATTCAAAAGATATATATTTTATGATCATAGATGTTATTTGTGGTTTTGTGGATTGTAGTTTTGCTTGAGCTATAATTAGTGACAAACAAGTAGACATAGGGCTACATAGTTATGGCTCATTTACATTAATACATAATTAAATAAGAGAAAGGACACCTTATGAATACAGATAGTACAAGTCATGAGAAAGTTTCTTAGAAACAGGTTAGAACCATTTAAATCATGATTTATATGTTTCTCACAAAGATTTAGTTTTTGACGCATCAAGTAGAGGAAAACAATTTTTATGAAGAAGTTGGGTTTACAAGAGCATATAATATTGGACAGGAGGGGATGGAAGGAGAGGATCATGGTTAGCGAGTATAGGAGATAAATCTTGGTTCATGTAGCTGATCTCATCTTTGAAATTAAGGCTTTGATTATTGTTATTGCTAAGAAGACATGCTTGGATTTGGTGAAAAAATTCTCTAGAATCTTAACGAGGATATTTGTGGATTTCATAGCATGATACTTTTTCTGTTCAAGTGAATAGTACTACGTGATAAACAATGTCACTATTGTCATATTTGTGAAAGGCTTGTAATTGCTGCAGTGCAATTTTGTGAAGTTCCATTAAAGGATGAATTTTCAGGTGAATCAGGGCCAACAGTAAGCAGCTGATATTGGCCTTTGCCATCAACATTGCATTCTCCTGCTCATTGGTTAACTAGTTGGAGTGAATAGAGTATCTGTCCTTAAAAATAGTGTATGTCAAATATTTTGATACTTGGGTCGAGTCAGTTTTGTGCATGTGAGTGAATGTAACTGTTGTCTATCAGCTTCATGTGCACCCTAAGGTGTGGCCTTTTCTTGCTACATTTTAACCCTGTTTGCTGACCGAAACATTTACTTTTGCAGCTGCAGGATTTTGCTACACAGTTAAGATTATGTTCCTACAATCAGCTCATATATCTTGCTTAAATGTTGCAAGTGTTCAAGTGGCTGATTGATCTACATGTTGGGCAAGCAGTAACCAGTAGCTGCTTCTCCCAGAGAAATCAATGTACCACCCTTTCATAAGCGCTAAGCAGTGGGAGGAAGTTACGAAATCTTGTGCAAATTGAAAGGTGATTTTTCATTGATGACTGACAGTTGTTTGCACACATAACTATTGAGAGCATTGACTATTTAACTTTTTGGATAACTATCTTGTCACATTCCAGGCGCAATTATTTTACAAAGTATACATACCAAATGGCCTTGGCAAGGGCTGGCCTAGGTATGGAAACAGATGGCAATGAAACAGGAAGGGGGTGCTTCAAAAAGAGATAATTTGATTCCTGCAAATTTTTCGACAGGTACAAACTTCTGTAATCCTTGAACAAATCATCAGTAAGTTTAGTAGAATAAATTCCCCTCCCAGTCTGGTTCATGGTGCAAGAAATCTGCTTGATAAATAGCTCGTTATTTTATAGTTACTGTCCTTACTGATAAACTCTTTGGTTGGTTAATTGTTTGATTTTATAGGTTGACATTCAAGAGTACATGGCCATTGTATCATACTGACACTAAAGTAAAGAAGTGGACTCACATACTGTAACTGCTGAAATGACTTCTGCAGTTGACATAGAGCCACAGAAAATTGAGCCTTTTTGCTCTGGAATGCTCTCTTGCAAAATTTTATAGGCTGCCTGTATTTTAAATTACTACGTATTTCTAATTCAATTACTTCAGGTAAAACGATTTATATATATATGTTCATTTTTGTAGGGTAGCACAATTTTGGTTATAACAGCATGAATTTTGTAGTAATGTAGTGATCTAACAGAGCAGGCTGACGTTGCAAGCTGAAAATTATTACAAGTATATTCACTGAGTAAATTGTATAGAAAATTGCACATTAGCATTTTTAATTAGGCTTATGACCTTATCTGCATTTTAAAGCTTGGTTCATATAGTTCATTTTTTGGAGTTCATTGCTCACATGGAATTATTTTCCATAATGTATATAAAAGTCGCATATGCATTAGAATTTTGGACAAATTTTTCGATACAACAAGAATTAATCCTAGATACTGGCTAAGTTGATGCAAGAGGCAAGGAAATACACAAAGTGATGAAAATGAACTTGAAAATGGATGGCAAGCCCCATTCTCAAAGTTAGTAAATACTAACATATACGAAGGAACAATTGAATTTTGAATAATACTTCCTATTTGATTGCATTTAGTACAGTAATGTAGCCATAGTAAACTCTTTCGTAATGCAACATAAATCTTACGTGGAATACAAAAGGTTATGGCGATTAAGTAGCTTTGTTCTATATTGATGAATGATGTTGAAGGTGAAATCTAAATCTTGGTTGAACCAATAAACTTCACCGACTCTTTCGAGCTAGGAATTTATGCTCTATAACACGGAATTGATTCCAGAATTATGAATAGCTTGCTGATGTAACCCTGAGGTTACATGATCTTTTAACCTATAATTCAGATGTGCTCGACTAATTAGGAAGCACTAATAGCTTATCAAAATGGGTTTTCGGTGCTTGTTGAAACTGATAGATGAAAGAAAGTTCGGGTAGCTGGTCATACAGGAGAGGAAATCTTAGGAAAGTTAAAATATAAACTACAGTTGCTTGACATTTTGATGTATAGGTGAATGGAGAATGTGCTAAATTTAAGCTACTACATCAGCCACAGAACTCTTCATTTTCTAGCATCGCTCCCAATACATGGCCTGAGTCTCTGTGGTAGCAAGTTGTATAATTTATACAGTCAGAATTTGTATGGGGCGTCATCAGGAACAAAATAAATAAATAAAAAATTCGTAGCAAACATAGATCACATATAAATTCGATCTCTTTTCCTCCTTAACTAGAATAATTTCAATGGATAATGTACCACACTCAAATTCTAGTAACAAATGAATTTAATTACAAAATTGTACAAGCTATTGTCTAGTATCATAAGTTTCTTAGACACAACTAATCCTCCATCCTGAAGCTTACTGCATAACGTAGGAGCAAGGATTGACAGTCTCCAAAAGCCCACTCACATAGCAGTATTAGTAAAAAACACCATTATCACCGGGCTATCAGAAAATATACAAGCAAAAATGAAGAACAATGATCGGAGACACTATGATACATGATGGGAGCTATACTGTGGTAAACCATATGAACCTTGTGTAAGACTGTCAAGAAAAATGGTGAAGCATATATGTATGACCTGATAATTCTGTATGAGCTTCAGGGAAGGATACAAAATGCTGCATCTCTTAACCCCTCAAGAGAAAGCTGTGTAATCCACGGCGGTATACCTCTGTGAGTTTATGCTTGTGATTCCTTCTTGTCACTATCTGTTATTATCTGTTAAGAGTGCCATAAGATCAGCATCGTTTATTTTTAAATCCAAAGCCAGCTGCATTGCAGATTTGCCTATGTTGTCAACAGTTCTTCCGCTAGCTCCCCTACAAAAACAATAATTTACTGCAACTTGTAAGCACAATTCAAGGCAATTAAGAAAGGAGAACCAAAATAAACTAAAATCGTTATTAACCCCCCTGCTACAGAATGGGATAGTAAACTACTAACTGTGAGTCTCACGTTTTGATTTCAAACAGCTCATTTAAACTCATAGCTCCACCTACTTATTCTACTGTCACGGTCAGCCTAATATGCAAACTTGCTTATTCAACCTCCTCAAACCCTGAGTTTTCTAATTTTTCTTTTCACCTTCAACACCAAAACTCAAACCCAACAACTTTCATGTATACATATTCTGCATCAAGTAATCTACCTCCCGCACTCCCATATCCATCAGTTCAAAAACACCAATATCTTTCCATACCCATCAGACATGTATTTAATTCTTAAGTGGCCGGACCTTTAATTGCAATCCTCAAGAAATGATAGAAAAACATGTTTAAAAATCTTGACAAATCTATGTTGGATAAAATTAGCAAGTCTTTCATATCTGAAGAGTTTAAGTAACAGTCATCAATATACATATTTCACTCTTTGCCGTTCTAAAATAGCCTCATCACCTTTCTTGGCTTTCTATTGCATCAAATTGCCTATACAACCCTTGATCTTTGTAAGAATTTTTCACAACAGCAGTCGCCTTTATCTAATTGACTTGTGCTCTTTATTGTTCTCACCTTGACACACAATCTCCATAAGACTCTGTATACACCTTATATTTTTCTTGAGATTGCTCAACCATAACCATCATTCTCTCCAGGAAACCATTTATAGATTCTCTAAGAAAGTTTGCCTGTTTTGCATAGTCTCACACTCTCACTCGCTCTTTGCAGACTCAAGAATCTTCTTAAACTATATTTCCCCTTGAACATAGAAGCTAACCTGAAAGAATTTTACAAATCTACAAACATCATATAGCTCATGTGATTTGCAATTCACTACTCTTTGTGATAAAATGTTCCGTTTTCTAAAAACCTGTTAAATACCATCAATTCATATGACATATTGACACCACAAAGGCCATAGTAGTCTTCCCTTCTTATTCTTTTGGCCATACCGTGCTCCCACTGTGAATGACTTCATACCCTCCAAATATACTTTGTATCAGTCCTTTTTTTTGCTTTTCTTGTCAAGACTTGGTAGGAGGTTCTTCCAGCTGTTCTCTTTCAGTTCACTGTCTACGATATATTATCCCAAATTTATGCTTTATGGCTTCTGTCAGCCTATCTTGCTAGTTTCAACAAATAAGGTTTACAGTGTCTTAAGCACAAGCAAATGTATATCATTTCTGATAACCCTGTTAAATGTGATTACAGACTTTCCACAAGTCTCAATGCTTGACTGTAAAATAAAAAGTTCTAATGTGGGCAATTAGTAGCCAGTCTGACATTGTCCAATAATAAAAGGAAACTTAGTAACCTACACCTTTGCTTGAACTGGACTAGCTGGGCAGAAGTAAATAGAAGATGATGAAGATTAAGGGAAGAAAATTCTTGTGACAGATTTCTAGAAGTTCAGCAACAATTAAAGATAAACAGAAGCATATAAGAGGCTTAATTCTCTCACATAAAACAAATTTAAACAAAAGGAAGCTCTCAATTTTATTGATCATAATTTCTCTCTTTAACGTGCTCTATTTATAAACAATTGGAATTGGCAATTGATTTTCTATGATGAAGGGGATGAAAACCACTGGCCCCTTCTAAGGAAGCAATTCTCCCATGTCTGAGTTTAAAATAATATTAATATTAGGTAGTTAATGCTGCAGCTCAAGCTAGATACTTCTTAAAGTATGAGTACAGAACTTAAACACCTTTAAAATACCAAGGCCCATAGAGTTTATTTTTTCATTGTCACGATCACATACTCTGTACCCAGAGTTTAGTCAGGTGCACTAAATTTATAATACAGATAGGCAGTTTACGTTAAATATTAAGTCATGTCTTTTCAATCGATCACAGCTCAATGGCTTCCTAAGGAAAAGATTGTTCTGAAAGAGTGAAAGAGTGGGATGTCTTTGAAAGAAATGATGAAAGAAATATAAAAATCCATAGAGAAAAACAAAAGAGACGGGGATGCTCAAGACAAAGAATACCTCATGAGAAGTACTTTTGCTATATCAGTTTTCCGTTCTGAGATGCAATGATGAAGTGGTGTTCGACCTCTTGAATCTACAGCATTTATATTTGCACCATACTGTAGGAGCAGTTCGACCATGCCTACATCAGTAAATTGACAGGCAAGGTGAAGTAGAGAGCAACCATCAAGAGAATTGTCTCTAGAGGCATCTTTTCCCTTAATTAGTGAGCTCAGCGATCTTGAGGCAGTCCTGTCAACAGATTTTGCTCTACCTCTATCAGCATCGCGAACAAGGGGAGTCTCATCCGAATTTCTCGCTCTAGGCATAATAAATGATTTGGCAGATGATGGTTGACGGTGCATGGCATTAACATCTGCTTCAGAGCATACAATAAGGTGATAAACTGCTTGCTTGTTATTGGCACGGACACTCTCCCACATCTGTTGCGGCACAGAGAATGCATTTTGATTTCCTTTGGCCTTGCGAACAAAGACTTTTTCTTCATACTGCAGCAAAGGGAAGTCATCATCAACTTTTAAGTTAAATAGAAGATCTAATTATTTACAAGAGTTATCATATCAATTCAGTATATAATTATGCTGCTAAGCAAAAGAAAGATAGAAAGGTTTAGTCCTACAGATTTAGAAATGTAGAAAGAAACCTTTCAGTTCTCACACAAGAAAAGTACATGGGAAAGAAAAAGGAACATGAGATATTTTTCCAAAAAATTAAAAAATATCAGATGCGGTCTAGCTAGTTAGGCATTAAATCATTCAGCACATAGTAAGATTTAACTGTACATGGTCCTGAAGGGACAAAATATCAGGCTGGAAGTTTTTTTTAAAAATTTAATCAGTTCAGAAAATAAAAAAAAGTTGCAGATCAAAGAGCATTCAGGAAGAATAATTTGATACACAATTGCAAAGACAATGTAAATTAAATTTATTTTGCCAAAATTTATATCTGTGTTACTGTGTCCATAAAAGATGTTGCCTCTGATATAACTAAGCTATGTGTTATGAGAGACAATGAGATATTACATATTTTAGTATGGGTGGGTAGAAATTAGATTCATTTAAATTTCAAACATACAATTTCTAGCCATGAGAACATGAATACAAATACTATATGTTATTTTGTTTTTATCTTAGAATCAATTGAAGACAACAGTCAAAGAAGTGATGATCTCATATCACAAGTCTACGTCAGTAAAATTCGGTTGTCAAAGTAACAAACACCTAATAAAAAGTCAATACAATGGATCATATAAATGAAATTTAATGAAACATAAACCCGATACCTTTGCATGAATGAACAACTCTTTCACTGCAACGGGATCACTGGGTGTAGGCTTTTTCATGAACGCCGGTTTATGTTGCTCCGACTTTGGGAAACTGCAAAAGTGAGCAAAGATATTAGCACAGCAGCAAAGCTTTGAAAAATTACATGACATATCTTATATATGTTGTGAAAGCATACATCACTTACATCACCGGTCGTTCATCTATTTGAGAATAGTTTCGGGCATGCAAAAATTCTTCCCAGACTGAATTTGCATAGACATTACCTAAGGATTGAAACAAAGATATAACAGAAGGCTCCCACACTCTTACATCCAGTGTTAATGACCTTACCTGTAATCAGTAAAAGGCATCACCAATCAGCACAAAACAAAAGCACGATAAAATTTAATCAAGGATCTGAGAGCAGCAGATGCATTTAACTGAGGAATAAGTAAATAAAAAAAGCAGCGATCTGAGTAAACCAGCTCAAGCAGCAATGTGTAGAAACAGTAAAACACATATTTTGAAGCGCTAATTCAAAAGACTATCAACCAAGTAGTCATAGCCTCGTAGTGATGCACAGAATTTTACAGAAATGTATCTCATTTAGAAATCTAAAGTAGTTAAATAGTGTTCTACTTGCTCATGATTAAGTAAATGGAGAGGAAGATAAATCTTCAGTCAACCATTGGCTCATACATCATGTCAACTGATGCTATAATTACCAATTAGTTTTCACCATGAAACTTTGGAACTTAAATAAATAAATTCCAGTGCCAAGCTTCACTGAAAGAAGCATTTAACATAATTTGTGTCACAAACCTTTGATATATGAACTCCAAGATTGCGATGGACACCAGAACATTCAATGCAAATGAGAATGCCTAGGTTTAAGGAAGCCCAGTCAGGTCCAGTAGCACCACAATCAGCACATTTTTCATTACCAGTCACCTTTCTTAAGACATCAATAGGTTTTTCAATTCTCACACTATGTCGTTGCTGCTGGAAACTACGAGGTCCAAATGAATTTGAAGAACCTTCCTCAGTGGCTGATGAATCAGTAATAGAGGAACCTTCAGAGGAACCACTATCTGACATACTGACTGGATCCCTTTGATTATCCCTCGATGAAAGTCGCTGGCATTGCAATAAAGTATGCTTTAGCACAATGGTTTGGATTTAAAAAAAAAAAAAAAACCCTAAACTAAACATGTCTTTTTTCTTTCTTTTTATTTATTTATTTTTATTTATTTTATTTTTTAATGTTTTTCATTATGAAACAGCTGGGAAAAAAGAAACAAAATACATTACAAATATACCCCTTCAATGGCTTGTGAGGATAACAATGAAGCAATTACTCCTCTTATCTTCTCAATCCACTCCATTTGATCTGCTGCATTCTCAGCCTACATATCCCAAGAAGAAGTATTTAAATTGGGATTTAATTTTAAAACATTATGCTCAGCTAATCAACTTAGAAATTCTATGGGCCTTTTATTACAAATGAAAGTGGAAAGTACCTGCAAGGTGTAAGTCTTCACAGGAGAGATGATCCTGAAGCAAAATCTCATATCTGACTGCTCAGCATCAAGCTTTATTGTTGATGTTAGCAGGTTGACAGTGTGACGAGCCACAGACTTTTCTTCACTACTGACAACATTATTGTGAGAAGAGGAGATCCATCGACCAAGTACCGAGCCAGGGTCAACAGAGCTATGAAGTGGACTAGAAAGCCTACTTGTTGCCATCTGAATACAGTGAAAAACAAGTAAGTGGAGGTGGAATATATCAACCTGATATGCGAGCTTTTATTTTGTTGAACTTACAGATGCCTTGCTCCGGGGCTTTCGATAATAATATAACATCCCTCGACTGTCGAGAACAAAATACCTTCGTTTCCAGTCAGCCCTCAAACTAGAAGAACGCTTAAATAGGTAACCTTGTCGAATGATTTGGACCTGTAAACAGAAACTAAAAGTAATTATATGAAAATAAGGAGCTACGAAGCACTGAAATTAGTAGGCATTTGACATAGGCTCTGATTTTGACAGCAAATTGTGAAACACCTTTCCATTTGCAGAAGACTGCATAACTTCTTCTACTGATTTATTGGTGCTTTTGGTAAAAGGTTGTGGACAATCCACTCCAGAAAGATCATTAGACCCATTTACAGATTGTCTACTTTGCTCATCTATCTGCTTTTTGTACTCTTTCATCTTTTCATTGAGGGATGTGAGCTCGTTGCTGGAGTTTTGTTTTGACTGCTCAGCGTAGTCAAGAATCTGCAGCAGACAATTGGTAGTTATAACTAATACTTTCTCATGGAGAGACTAAAAAACAAAAATGACTTTTATCATTTGGTACTAAGCAGATTAGAAACAAAACCAACTGGAATATAGTGGACTTGGAGAACATCTGTTTTTTTTTTTTTATTTTAAAATTCGCTCTATCGATTTCTGCTCCATCCCGATGCAGGAGGTTGAATCCAACATGGGTACTTGAAGTGAAATAAAATGTCCAAGTAACATTATTCCACTACTTGAGCTTATATATATATATATATATATATATATATATATATATATATATATATATATATATATATATATATATATATATATATATATATATATATATATATATATTTTAAAAAAAAAAAGTACAAAGCTGAAATGAATGTCACTTAAATTATTGCAATATTGCATTATTTGAGACCAGTCAATGCAAAAGAAAACATCAATAAAATACACTGACCAAACAAACTAGAAACACAAAATCACAATATACAATAAGACAAACCTGCTTCATAAATGGTTCCATCTGATGCAGCAATTCATAACCCTGGAAAGCAAACCATTAAAATATGTACCGCACACATCACAGATAGCAGATTATACTGATGGGCAAAATGCCAACATACTATGTACCTGTTTAAAGTAATGGAGATGTGCATCCATTGATCGGCTAACAGATTCCAGAAACTCATAATGTTTTTTTGCTTCCACATTTGAAAGAGAAGTAACCTGCAGTTTGAGTTTTAGAGAATTCGACCTCATTAATTTAGATACAGACAATCAATTATAACGAATATAGTTTCAGGGGAACTTCATCCTGTGAAAGATCAAGAGGACAAAACAAATTCATACCAAATTGAAACGCGCTTGATCATATTGAGCTCTTGAAGTGTGAAGTTCCTGGAAGGTCTCTCTACCAAATTAGATTATGAGAAATAGTGATCATTGACAAAAAATCAAATTATCATGTATCCATCAGAACAATTTTGGCAAAGGACTACATACCTCCTCTGTGCTGGCAACTGTATCCTTCCTGGCACTTTTCTTCAGCGACAAAAACTTCTCACGAGCCTACAAAAATGGTATATTATGGCAATTAAGTTTGAGTGTCACAAGAGGGGGAGGGTGGTTTCCAATATTTAACTCTCTAGAATAGCATTATTTCACAAGAGGGGGGAGGTACAAAAACTTCTCATGAACCTACAACAATGGTATATTATGGCAATTTAGTTTGAATGTCACAAGAGGAGGGTGGTTTCCAATATTTAACTCTCTTGAATAGCATTATTTCACAAGAGGGGGGGGGGGGTAAGGGAATCCCCCAACTCCCTAGCAAATGCAGTTGGTGGGGCTCAAACTTGTGACCTCAAGGTGAGTTCTCCACCAATTCCTCCAAGCTTGCTTGGTTATATTTAATATTCTAAATAGGTTTAGGACACATTTCAGTAAATAATTCTAAATGTATTCTCTTCCAATAAGAATATCCTAATTTTTTTTTAATACATCACAGTTTTAACTGCTGCTTACCCCATATGCCATAGAGGAATAAGGGTTACAAAAAACATAAACATGAATAACTTAAAATTCACCTTAGCTAAATCGAATGGCAATCTAAATGTCTAATAGTAATCCAGATTTTACATAATAACTTAGAGAAAACAGATTGTTCACCTGATCATATGAAGCAGCAGCCTTGTCAAACCGTTTTCGTGCTTCCTGTTTAAAAACACAATAGATCTTTATATAAGTATGTAAAGATCCTCATATAAGCATGTTAAGCTTGATCATATCACATGCACTAATAATTCTAGGTGTGTCTTGTTCTCACACGATGAGCTTCATCACAAACATAGTAGATTCTGTCCAGGAATCATATGATTCACAAGAACCACCTCAAGTTCATGATGGATTCTTCACGAACAGTAAGTATATCAAATGTGGAGGAAATTTTTTAAAGCAGAATGAAATAAAATGAACTAGAATTTAGAAGTTGATAGTGAATTTGTTCTAAGCTTTATTTTTGTTATTTTGGAAGAAAAAAGGGACAGAAATAAAAAACAGATATGGTTGATACCATCAAGTACCTTGACATCATATAGGTCGACATTGACAAATTGTAGCAGCTTAACGTTTAGTAAGTTCTCCACCTAGTGTAGCCAAAAGATAAAATCAGCACTCAAAAGGACAATAGTACAATAAACAATACACCATATAAGTTTTCTATACAGACATGGGAATGAAATCCCTTAATTCACAGGGAAATACCAAGTGTAGTCAATAACGGTTAACATTTTACTCACTCCGAAATAAATTAAACACTAAACCCAACTTTACAGTCTTCAACAAATATGTTCAGCTAACAATTTATCTAGGTTATTTCAAATTTTATTTTTTTTATAGAATTGTATTTATAAACTCGAGTTTTGTTATTTACTCACGCTTCAAGTGTTTTTTTTTTTTTTTTTCAGAATTTGATAGCAAAGTCCCAGTGGGAAAAAAACTACTCATTAATCAAACTCAAGTCATCAAAGTTCAAAAGATACAATAAGAGAAGAAAAACAGACATCCAGAAACTTTTACCAACATGGCAACATCCCACAGTTTGACACTGGACATGAACCACTTAATATGCTTTCTCTCCCACAAAAGACTGAGCAATAGTCTATCACTAGCAAACGCTAAGATATTGCCAACAAACAATTGGAATGAGCTCAACCCTGTTCGTTCCCACACATCTTTACTGACAGTTTGATAGAGTTGTAGATTCCATAACAATCTTGTAAGATCCAAACTCCCTTGCATGCTTCATAAGACCGGCTTGATGAGTACCTTTGTGCTTCCACATATTTTACGCCCCACACTTCCGATAGCTGTTAGTATCACTAGTTTCAAATGAGATTAACAATGTGAGACTTAAGGAACGCGAATTTTCAATGGGGCAATTTTCTTTCCCTGCAAGTCGTAACATTTTTCAATTGAGGCGGTTTTATTTTTCCCGCAAGTCGTAACATTCTAAAACAGTGCAAATCAGAGCCACCAGCAATGTGTGGAGTTATAACACATTGACCAAACTCAGAAGTTAAGTAACCAATCTCAGATGAATGTGGTAGTACCAACTACCAAGTCTATCAACAATACATCCATCCACTCACAGTTAAACTAAACTAGTAAACTTCTCTTTCAAACAATTTGTGATAGATATAATGATTATGTTTAGTAGTATATTTCTACACTGAAATCTATGCACCAAATTTATTTAATTTAAAGATAAAAAAAAATACATGCACCACTATTGATACTACCTATGTTCTTTTTTGTGTCCCATTTAGAATATTCCATTCGAAGAGAGAGAAACTTTGACAATGATGGATAAGAAATAACATATTCATGTGGGATGTTGTTATTCATCTCAAAGTAGTTTCAAAATAATAACATTTTATCATTTGTTATAGTAAGTAGTTGAAATAATAATGCTGCACAAATGTGTGCATTGAAATTGTGCAATAAGTGAATTGGGGTAAACTAAAAAGAATAGAGGTAGAATTATGATATAGATGAGAATTGTGCAAGCCCTCTGCACTTCATTTTTATATAACCAAGTCTTGCCATCCTACAAAATAAATAATTCTTTCCAAATTACAAAGGAAGTACCTGTGATCTAAGAACTTCCTTGTACGTACCGATCTCTCTCAAGGCGATAGTAAATTTTGCCATGATTGGGCCTGTATTAGATGATTACACATGAAAACATATATATGTATATAAAAAAATTAGAATTTCACTCATCTATTTCGTTTTTAAGAAAAATATGATGAACCGAAAATATGGATTAGAAACTCCTAAACAAAATAATTTTAAAAAATAGTTATCTAAAGAGAAGCATTATAATTTCATATAGAAGAGGAGAAAATCGAAGAGGAGAAAATCAGAGATGAAATACCTCCAAAAGAAACACCTATAGGATCATTATTCCCTCCTGCGAATGTTTCAAGTGCGCTTGCAAAAGCTACATCTGCATCATAACCCTCTCCAAGCCCTTCCCTGGAATCAAGTTGATAGCACAAGTTCAGAAAATTAGAAAGAAAAGGAGCTTAGGACGCAGCATGCACAACCTTCATTGATGTATATGAGCTTACTGACACAAATTCCTAAAAAACACAAGATATAGCACTTCTTCAAGTCATCCTATATTTCATTTACTGCTTTTACATCAGCACACTAGCTTATTCAATAGAAAGCACCAAGCTCCTTAAAAACACTCCTTAATCCTTACATCTCTACTCCTTGAAAATAAAGAAGAAACCAAACATTGAGAAATAGTTAATTCTCATTATTATAATCAGCAGGAGTCCAAAAACATGTTGCAAGTAGATAAATACGAGTAGCACTTCATCCAATAAAACAACAGGCCTTCTGACAAATGTTTAATTAACTTCCTAGCGCTAATCCTCACTTCTAATAGTTATCTGTTCTATATAAAAAGCTAAATACCCTCCATACATAAAGCAACAGTAGCCATATTGCTAATTTACCACCAACAATCACTTGGCAAATCTTGCATGAGGCAAACTTACACAGCGTAATTTATCATTTAAAGAGGTGACTTTCATGGTCCCACAATAAGTTATTGTAAGTATACCTGATCTAAGACTGCAATCACTAAACTGCAAAGGGATTGAGTAGCAATATCAGTTACACTGGCCTGGGTCCCAAACCCTTCATTGGTCTTTACAATAAACCAATCCGTAAGGAAGGAAAAAGGGGCATTCATCAAGTCATGAATAGATACTCGATCAAAAAGAAGTCTCTAGGCCATGGATGATAACGTCGCTGGTACATAAACTTAATACCGAGCTTAAAACCAATTAAAATAGTAACATAAATAATTGCCAAACTAATGAAGGAAACAAGAAAATAAATATTGAATTATATAAGCTACTAAAATACAACGAACTCCTAGACCCCGTTATAAAGGACACTTGAGAGCCTCATGTATTGCATTGATGATGGTATAGTACATAATAAGAATCAAGCAAAAACAGCAGAAAGATAAACAAAAGTTGCTGCCTTACGTGTACTTATGACATCCTTTGTAAAACTTTAAACTTCGATCCTTCAGCAATTCAGAGTTTTCTTCCAAGCATTGAAGCTGTTTCACCAACCAAATAATATAGCTAAGTACTTTGTTCAGCTGGGATACTCGAGGCGAAATTCCCCATTACAAAATAACAAATAAAAATATTTTCAAGTAATTTTACAGTTTCAATCATGCATGTCCTATCAAAGACAAAGCTGATTTATATCTGGTTATAATGCTTGGACCACCAACTCTTATTAGTTAATGGCAACATTTGGATCATTTTTGAAAGCTAATATAAGAAACTACTAATTATTAATTTTTATTTTCCGCATTGTACACGAGCAACATTGAAACGGGATTTAATCTCAGGTCTCGAGTATCACCCCGGGCTTCAACTTTTAACAAACAAACTAAGTTCGTCGGCATTGTAAAGACTAAGTAATCAAAATTGGATAATACATAGACTAGAACAAATTATAACAACAGCTTTCACTGTTCTGCATTGTATCAACAAAATCCCTTATAATTTGTTATACCTCATATACAATGATCAAAACCAAAAAACTTAATAATAAATATTGGAAGAAATCAAATAAAATGGAGATTAATTAAGAAATAATAACCTGGGTTCTAAACATGGGAGAATCATCCAGCTTTAAAAAGTCCAATTTTGAGCCTTCGCCCATTCTTTTCTGCAAAACAATATTTCAATAATTTCATATTAAAATAATTTACAAAAGAAATGAAAAAAAAATAAAAATAAAAACCCACCTAAATTTATATTGTTCTGACAAAATTATGGATAAAATTACATACCCGAGGAGATAGACCGTAACAGAACATGCAATTTCCTTCAAACAAGCAATTCTCTTTCTTTTGTAATTTTTTGATACCAAATTTTTGATGAATATATGAATAAAGTTTGAAAAAATCAAACCCAGAAAGGGCCTTAATTCAAGAGCAAATTTTTAATACTATATTAAAAAAAATGATCACGTAAAGCAGGGAATTCCAAATTCCATAGAAAAAACAAAAATAAAAGAGAGAGAAAAAGTAGATATCTGGAAATATTTTCTAATTATAAACATTTAGTTGTATTTCAGTTGAAAAGGAAAGTACTTAAATTAATTAAAACAGATAAGATAAAATAAAATGGAAGATTTGTGCATTTGTCATTGTTTTGTTTTAGAGAGAGAAAAAAAGAGCGCGTTAAGAGGACGGCTTTTCATGTTATTTTTTTGGATGACAAAATTATAATTTGATAAATAAGATTTGGTGATGCCCAAAAAAAACATGGGAGGCATGTCTGTTTTTTTTCACAATGTTTATATTGTTGTGTGTGTTTATGTCAATTGTCATCATTTTATGAGAACGACTTTTTTGAAATATCAATTTTCTTTTGCATGGAAAGTCGATATCTAAATTATTCGTGTTACATATTTATTTGTTTACTTTCTTATCATTAGAGTAGCAAACAGTTGTCAAGTATATCACGTTTAATTAGCTGTATAATAAAGTGTTCATATGTTTCATAATAATTGACATGCATTTACTTTATTAACTACTCCATATTTTTTATATGCATATAAATAAGTATAATTACACATAAGATTTCATTGTTTTTAACACTTTTCATCCAAACTCTCATATCTCTCTCTTTCTTTTTATTTTTTAAATTTTAACGGTAAACTATAGAGAGGGCCCCCCACCCTATCACATGAATGAGGGGCTATGAGGAATCGAACCCTCATCACATGGGGAGGGGGGGGGGGGTGGGGTTGAAGGGACTAACCATCCCTCCATTTCCTCGTCCCTCCCTAACACTCATCTCTTAGACTCTACTTTTTGATTTCCTTTTCCCCCCTCCAACTAATGTTACTATCTTTAATTTAATTATGATAATTCACTTATCTCACCCTCCATTGTGTCCACTATACTTATTCTTGCTTTCCTTATTTTACAGCGATCTCATCTGAATCATCTCTCTCTCACAATCGTTTTGTTCTTTTCTTCAAATATTGCTTCAATTCAGACCTCAATGGTACGTATTTCACCTTCAAACCCTTACTCCATGTCTTCTAGTTCCAAAGTTTTAGAATTTGTAGCCCAAATGTAGCGACTAGAACGCCACAATGACGCCTCTAGGTTCTTGTATTACTGGAAAATGAAGTAACATAATCAATCCACTCAAATTAAAATTACAATCCTTGATTTATGCAAATTTAAATTGATTATTTAATTTTGTGATAATTATGGGAATTTGCTCACCATCTACACATCAACCCATATTTAATTTACTACAAGTATTTAGCAAAATTGGTCTATCGAACAATGTATTACAAACTAAATAATCATCACTAGCGCAAAATCCATAAATATTTCTCACAAAAAATGTGCTCATGGCACAACCGGTCAACCGCACAACTAGTTAACTATACAAAAGTTGGTAAATTATAATTTTCCAAATCTTAATAATATAGATTTATGAAAATTGCTCAAAATTAGAAAGATGGATTAATGTGTTGTTTTGTGTTAAACCTATTTAATTTGTGTCAAGCTTAATTTGTTTAACTGTCATAAGTTTAGCCAAATGATTATTACTCTGTAGTTGTGAATGGTCTTTCGAAGTATAAAAGCCTATTTTTAGGTAATCCACGCCTAAGAATCTCATACTCAATGTGCTCATGGATTGGCCTGCTAGTTGCATAAGTGAATGCATTTTGGCATATTGGGTTGCATAGGGATTAGTGATTTGTTTGGGGTGTTTCAATTGAATTGTGAAAAAAGGACATTGAAAGGGTCAATAATGTAGGAGTTTCAGATAAATCTTTGTAAGTAAATACATAAACCTAATATGGATTCCACGATAGGGACGATCAAAAGAGAAAATTTCAAAAGGACATAATGCATGCATAAGTTTCACATCATAAATTCATTTAGGTTCACGGGTCAAAGTGGATTCGAGAATATGAGGTAAAAAAAAGGCCAAAGGAGAAAATGTCCACCCCAAATTGGCCTTTACTCTATTCAATTTGACACAATGCTGCAATCCAAAGGCAACAATACATTTATGCATTTACCATGTTAAAGATCCAAAAATAGACTATTTATTAATTTAGGTATTTATAAACCTCTAGAAACAAGAAAAGAAATGAGTTAATATGGTGGGAACAGTTATTATGGCGTGATTAATTTAATTTTTGATGGTATAATTTGTTATTAAAATGAGTAGAATAGGTGGGACCGTGTATAAAATTCGTTAGGCATGAGACATGCAAACAAACTTAAAAAAAACGGCAGCAAAGACCAGCAGATACTAATTCAAAGGAAGGATTTCACGTAAGGTGAATGGCCAGCAAATCACATACTGCAAATATACATAAAATCATTTGGTTGAATCCTTGCTACTATATTTCTAAACAATGCCGTTTTGGTTGGTTCCTTGCTAATAACATTTTAAACAATGTCGTTGTATTGTTTTCAATCAACAACTGTTCACGCGGACTTGTAAAGCTAACGCAAGAAACAGGCACAATTGATTGAATTCTAGCTTTTTTTTACACTTGTCTGGAAGATCAAACCACTGGGAAGAACTGAGGCTCTCAGTTTCACTTTGTCGACATCCACAAACACCATGCTAAGATTATAAAACCTAAGCAATACAAAACTGTGAAATACAAAATTGTTCATTTATCAGAAACATGGTAATACAATCGAAATGATCCAAAAAAAAAAAAACAGACGGGTCCTAATGGCTTTCTCAGTATCAATTCTCAGCAGCACTCCAGAATAGCTCCCTTTAGAAGAAAAGAAAAGGGTACTTATCTCCAAGGCCAGAAGCCTCTTGTCTTCTTCATCCTGTTCTCAAGTGTGGGGAACTCAATCATGTTATAGGCAAGATCGAGAACAATTGGATTCCTTGGGACTGCTTGGAAAGCTGGAGGGAAAGCTTCAATCCGGGGAGGTACTTTCGTGTTGGAATCACTGACAGTGGGTTCGTACACATCAAGTTTCTCAGCAAGGAATTTATCCTGTTAGAATGAAGTCAAGTGAACTTTAAGATTATATAAAATATACCAGCATACAGAATATGTAGACCAGTGGACGATGCCAATACCCTTATCTTTCCCTTCAAAAACAAAGGGTATGTAGTAAGCACACAAAATACAAGTATACAAATAACCATGATCTTTATGCAAAAGCTTAATGAACCCCCAACAATAAAATTCATTTGAGCAGGTGGTGCTACATCACACAATCCAACATATTCAAGTCGTTTTAAGTAGCCAGGATATTGATCAGAGTTAAAAACATAAGACTTCAATGTGGCTTAACCTGACTACGTATACCACCAATCAATAGTGACTTAGTGAGACACCTTGTAGCACACAAGCTTGGCAACTATTTATGATCAGGGAGAAGCATGGTATAAATTCCTTCCTCCACCCCCACCCTTTTATAGGCCGAATATATTTTTTTACGGCAAGCGCATAACCCCTTTGACCTTGAAATTCAGCACCTAGGTACCTCTTTTTTATACACTAGTAATGGGAAATGCTTTCAAAGAAGAGTAAACCATAATTTTGGTAGACAAACCTTCTTATCAGCCCCAGTCAGAGACATATTTGATATCTTTTTAGAAAGCTTTTCAGGAATCTTCTGCTCTTCCAAGATTCCGGTAGCATGCTCTATACAGATGTTTGATCTGCACTGATGATGTAATGCCTTCAACTCCGCCGTCATTCCCTGTCACGAAGAAAGTGAAATGTTCCAATCAACCTTCTGGCAGTTATACTCACTTATCAATACAGCTACAATTTACAGTTCAAAGCAAGGATACAAGATAAGCAGTCAGCAGGTACAACGAAATTTCCTAGGCATCAACTTAACGTTACACACAAAATCCTTCCATCAGATATCTTAATTCTCTTCCAGGGAATTCTGTAAAGTAATACCCCCAACATTTCCTCTAGCCTTAAGAGAGACATATACAGCACAAAGCATCTGCAAACATGCTACAATTCACATGATGGGAATAATGACCTGTTCACTGTTTTCCACGCTCTGCAATTTTTGCAGTGCGTTCTCCGTCACAGAAAGAGCACGAGAATATAATGCATAAGCTTCAGCTCTCTTTCCCGCCAAACTGTAGGATTTCGCCAGGTAAAAGCACCTTCAAAAAATTGCAGTGCCTGTTAGAAATTATTAATCCTTAACATATTCTGAGAACTCCAGATACTTATCAGGCAAACTATCATGACAGCATCTACCAAACATTCAAGCATCAGATATGAAAGAAAATAAAAATATACCTTTCTGCACGGAAAGCTAAACTTTTGAGAGTGCATTCCTCAGCAAATGCCACTTCTTCACCTTTACTATCCCTCCCAGAAGTGACTAAGTCAGACAAATCAGCTACATTCTGCAAACGTTGACAGCTGAACATGATTTTTTTTCCAATAACATTTTACATACTTGAACATATGGAATACCAACCAACATCATCCAATTAAGAAACCGTTGTAAATATCCAAAACAAGTATCATTCTGAATGCTTACTTGTAATAGAAGATCGTACAAGCGAACAAGTTCCTCGGGTTTGGTAACTTTTTCATTTTTGTCATCACGGTTTCTGCTGAGTTTGCTCTTGGCAATACTGACTAAAAGCTGGTTCCGCTCAATGGTACGTTGTCCAAGAACAGCACTTACAGCTTTGTCAAGTCCATTCAGGTCATCTTTCACATTTTCAGCACTCCCTGAAGTAACCTACGAGACAAAGCTTTAACCAATCATAATTTTGGACACTAAAAGCCACCCTTGAAATCAAGCCACAAGAAGACATAAAAGTAGCCAACATGATACCAAACTACCAGAAGCAATGCATACCAAATCATTGCGAATGCAACTCCTTGCATCATGATAGGCAGAAAAAATTTTGTCAAAGACAGCAAGTTTTTTCTCAGCTGACAGCGAATCTGCAGTTGGACCCTGAATACCCTTCTCCAATTCCTGAGCTACTCACATGTAGAAATAGAAAACTTTAAATTAGATAGGTTCAGATATATATATAGTGTAGGTTCAGAAAATAGCAACAACTAGCAAATAAAGACAGACAAGATACTCCATCTCCAGAAGCAGGCTTTGGAAGAGCCAACCCCTTGCTTCCATTTTTATGCCATTACTTACTCATACCCTCAAGATAAACTTTGGGGAGAAAGATCATAGGTAAACCTCAACTATGGAGTGACAGGGTAGAAAGTTAATTTAGTTTATTTTACAACAAAATGAAGCAGATACAAGAGTTACTGCAAAGCAAATACAATATAACCATTTATGGACTCCTTTGGCGAATAAAATATTTATAGGTAGTAAATGATGAGTTTTTATTGAGTTGGAATAATACTACTAGCAAGAGAAGGCTACATATAATTATATACTCACAGCTTGTTAAATCAGATGACTCCATCACCACTTATTATTAAAGAAGAATGAGCTTATGCCTTTGGCTTTTATGCTCAGCAAATTCCTAGTGAAATTAATCTACCATGTACTTCAAAAGGGAAGCAGCCTAGCCACAAGATAAATACACACAGCCACACAAGTAAGCGGAAAGACAGATTGGGATCCGAGTCCCTTGAAGAAAATAAAACCGAAGGAAACATATCAACAGGGAGACAACGCACAATGCAAAGGGGAACAGAAGACCAGATGAGAGCACAAACAGAATATTATTAGTGAATCCTTCTCATCCCTGTATTTTTATGGTTTGGAAGTTCCATTATATTAACTGTGCATTTTCAATGAACAGCAGGAAGCAGAAGCCAAAAGCGCGAAGGCGCGAAGCTGATTTTGATCAAGTCGTAGTGTATTTCGGTTATGTTCCTCTAATGAGCAGCTAATTGCTTTCCACGATTTATTATCAAACTTTAATTATGTAATTTGATGATTAACTTTGTTTTGGAATTATCTTTGGTGTTATGATTAAATTATTCATCTATATGTTAGGTTGCAAGTGTGAGTTGTTGTCCCACATGGAAAAATTAAACAAAGAACCACTAGTTTATAAACTAAGTGAGCTACTCCTATTGCCATATGGTTTTGGGATGGAACCTCACTTGGGCTTATGTGTGGGCTTTTCTCTCCTCCTTGTCTCTCCCCCGATTCCTAACATATAAGGCTGATAATTATTCCTAAGAAATTCAGGTTATAAAATTAGGCAAAGATAATCACGCATTGTGATTAAACCATTGAATGCATTGTCAAAGCTTTTTTTTTACATAGGCCATGTCACCAAGTCAGTGTCAATAGTGACCCAAAGCTAATAGCCTAGGGCACCTATATCCGTTTAATTGTAAATCAAACTAGAAAATCAGCTATACAATTAGTGGTGAATCAAATGTCCTTTGCAATTACTGATTGTTCTCCCAGGTTACCCTTATCTTGACATTTAGTTGATATAGTTTCTATTCTGTAATTTGTTTTATTTCAATTAGAATTAGAATCAATTTATTTTTAGTTTTTGTCACTAACTCACTACCTATAAGATATCCAAGTATTTGTCACTATCCATTTGAACTTCTACACTTGTATGAATACGATTTATAGCTTGTCTAAAATTGCTATCAAGCAACAGCATTAAAACAAGAAACCTGGAGCTTTTTAACAAGGATATGCATGATTGGAACTAGTAAGAAAGCACCAAGATAGTGCTGCTTCAAAGCTTAAACAATGCTCTCCTGACCCACTTCAAGAGTGATCTTTCACAAATATTCTCAAAGAACCAGAATATCATTGTATCTTGTGTGCCATGTAGGTCATCAGACAACAGCTAGCAAATAGCTCAAGAGTGCAAGCAGGTATGTAGTATTTTGAACCCATGATCCATGGTGATCAGCCAGAGAAGAAATACTAAGCCAACATTTTCAGGGAAATCAACTAAATGAGTCTAGATATGGTTCAAAAAAAATTTCCGGGACAAAGCTCGTGAGTGCTAGAGAAGTATATTAGTTGAACTATGTTCTATAAACAAAAGATAATGACCTACTAACCTTTTAGAATGGAAACCCTAGTCTTAGGATTGGAAATTGGAAATCGGTGTCCCAGCCAATTGAACTCTGTCATTGAAGCAGCCTGTTGAGACCTTGCCTCAGCCATGACAGCCTGCATATGCAAATACAGTTATAGCTCCTTGAAAGACCTGACTATAGTCTGCAAATAGGTTTAGGCCCAATTCAACAGGATAAATCGTATGTTTAACATGATTGGGAAAGTAGCAAAGCACCCTCAACAGCTGCATATCTTTAGGGATTAAACTATTCATGACATTTAGAGATCTAGGCTGACAACTGTTACTTAAATAAAAATGAAGCATAAATCTATTAAACCACCTACAAACTTCCAAGCTACAAATGAGTCTGATACATGTTTTTCAAAAATTTAAGGTGAAGTGCAGTTTTTCAAGCTAAAAGTTCAAAGACCTTCACAGGAACATGAATTGGCAGAAATGGTTCAAATTACAGAAAAGAAAACTTACTTCCAACTTGGATTTGAAAAGGTCCAATGCTGGCCCCTCCATTTCACCAATCTGCTTAAGTTCTGAAGCTTGCAGATTGGACTGGCCAATTTTGTGTAAGCAGTACCTAATACTAGGCTCTAGCTCTTCCACACGTTCACGACACAGAAGTTGATTTTCAAGGTCTCCATACTTCCCAAGCTCTTCATAGACAGCCCTGCAACGTTTACGTTACCATAAGAGTTATTCTCTGTTTGAATAAAGTGACAACGAATATGTGTCCCCATCATACATAACATTCCTGCAGCATGCAGCCTAGAGGGATTTGGCTTCCAAATAAAACCAACAAATGACACTAAGACAAGTATTCTAGCATCTTCAGATTTTACTTGAATCATTGATGCTATAAGAATCATGCAGAAAGATATGATTCATAACAAAATAAGATTTTTTTTAACAATGACACCGCTAGTCATCTACAAGCTAAAGACAGTATAATGCACCTGGCACTCTTGAAATTCCGTAATGCCATGTCCCAATTCTGATCTTGCTCGAACAACAAGTTGCCTTTCATATATGATGCATAAGCCTGGTCACAGTGAAACACATGTTCAGTTCCAATAGCAAGTAATAAAAACTTCAAATGCGATGTTGGTCATGCAACCTAATTTCTTGAAAAACATACTAAACATTATAGGTTCAAGCCTCAATGCTGCTTGACAAATAACGCAGGAAAACAGAAACTAGCACCTAACTGTAGCTTTGGCAACTAAATATGAATAGCTCTAAAAGTGATTAAGGTATTCAAGGGAAGTAAACAATCCTTAACTTGCCTAACATCACAATCAAGAGCATATCGCTCAAGACTATTTTGCACTCTGTTCATCCTATTTTGGAAAAAAAAATGGTTGCTTCTCCACGCTCTCAAATGCATACCTTTTTTGACTATTAATTATGCATCACTCATTCCGTCTCAAATTAGTTGCTCTATTTGCCTTTTAAAGGTCAAATTTCATCAACTTTGCTCAATTATTTCTACTATCATATGAAGAAAATAATACCATAGGGTATCTTGTTAGATTCTTTATAATGTATACTTTCAAAATATCAAATTAATATAAATTTTATATAAAATGCGATTAAAGAAATTATTGGTCATATGTGTCTCGGAGATTTTGAGAAAAAAAATTAGGCAACAGATTGGAGACAATGGGATTATCAAAAATGATTTCTTGCAACCAAGATCTTACATGATAAATATTATAAATATTGGTGAAAATTAATGGCTAAAGTTTTGGCTACGAAACATTTCTTGTAGGAAGGTAAAAATGGGGAGTAGGGAGGATAAGAGTTATAGAATAGTCATCAATGCATACTTCTGTACTAGCATTACACAAATTCCACTACATGTAGTCCTTTATGCAATTGTCTACGTTGAATTTTCTACAAAAACCAGTACTTACACAGCAATGATGTAAAATAAAAGTCCTAGAAATACATTTGAAACTAAGAGAAGTGTCCAAGGTTGGCAAGGTTCACATGACATGGATGTCAAATGAAGAATAACAAAAAGCTTCATCCAGCAGTAAAATAAATAAAAATATATTAAAAATAAATAAAAACTGTGGCGGATAGCACGGGCTTGCTTGGAGCTTATCAGCCACAGCTATAATAATCCTCACCTTCTCTCATGTCACCAAGATGGGGTAAGTATAGATATGAGGTACAAAACATTCAAACATTGCATTATAGGAGGTTTATACATTTAAAATTTCAAGACACTTCACAAAAACTCACAAAAGGGCCTCAGGTATCTCTTCAAAATGTCATGGAAAGTTTAACAAGCGAAATGGCTATAGAGAGGCATAATGAGAGGATGGAGACATTAGATGCAACTCTAAAAGGGACTTGTATATTTTGAGATGACTACAGTGAGCGGCAAAATGGGAGAATGGAGACATTAGATGCAACCGGCGCATCCAAAAGATCATTGGCGTTGGTACCAAACAGATGGGTTCACAATACTACTTCATCAGTTACGCCATCCATTATACACCCAAGAAAGAATTAGGGGATCACAACACAAAAGTTCCCTTAGTATAATCGAAAAGCATATCAAGGAACTTCCAGAGCTATAAAGAAGTTCCATTCAAGAACACAGAAACAAAAATGTTAACTAGCAAATGTCAGTAGAAGTTCAGAAGAACAATTTTAGGTGAGGAAGATAATGGCTCATTAACCCTTGGGCCTCGAAGAAAATTCATGAGATACATGATGAGCTGACATAAAACTATGTCTACAGACTCATTCCTTTCTGCAACTCAATAAAATTAGAATAAAAGTTCTACTGCTCTGCATAACCATGGGTAAGCACCTCCCACACAGAGTATCAAGACTTGATTTTCAGTCATCTTACCAACTAGACATAAGTCCACGTGTCATTCACTAACACCATGATAAAATTTATTAAACAATCAATGGACAGGGAAGAACCCACTGCAACTCAAAAACAATACACTTTAAAAGTAATATGAATGAGATCAAACCTCAGCTTCCAGAGAGGTTCTGGAATCTCCTTTGAGTGCACAAAGTTGCGCAAAAAGAGTAGCCCATTTTACAGCCTTCCTCAATCTGCCAATCAGATAGATGCGTTGGCGCCCATTTGGACCATCCGGCAGTTGTCTTTTCTCCATAGCATGGCTCCATGCCCTTTCAGTTGTATAGAGTAGAATATGGAGAAATCTACAGACAAAATAAATACCAAATAAAAGAAACTTGCTTAGAATTTCACAACACAGCAATGGAAACATTTGGCAGAGCCGCAGAGGACAAAGAGCGACGTAGTGTAAACCACATACATTCCACACTTATTAGGGCAGTGATTGAACAATTCAGTTAAAATTTTTTTTTAAAAAAAAATAAAATTAAAAAAATAAAATAAAATTTACCTTACATCAGTAACAGTGCTCTCAGTAATAACTTTCCGGCTGTATTTATTACGGCCATGTGTAAACTTGAGAGATTTATACAGCCTTCTCAGACGAGCTGTACAATACCGCCTACCATTCAAACATTCCAATAAATCAATAAAAGCACCTCAAGCATATTAAATATATACAGCATTCAACTCAACACAAAAAAGCCTATACCCTATGTTCAAGAGAAAATTAGGTATCAAAATGTCACAGAAAGACAGGCTAACAACGATCTGTTCTTTAATTCTAATTTATTAAAAGATTAAGACAGATATTCAGGTCTAGACATGAAGTTAGAGGGCTTCTGATAAAGATAACTTATGTTAACCCACCACATTAATGATCTTCGCATCACATGCTTTACGAAATGCAAGTTTACAACTATTTAAAAAAGGTGCTGCATACGAAATACGGAGTATCACTTATTCTACATTTCTACCCCCATATTTTTGAATGTTATTAACTTAGAGCTCGTCAGCTATAAGTAACCTTTTTTTTTTTTTTGGTTGTTTAATATAAACAGATTTTAGTGTTACTTTTCAATTTTTACAAAACCAGTACGAAGCTACTTATTGTTGTTGCTAACTTTAATTCTTGAATACCTATTTTTAAATCAAAAAGGGAAAAGGAGAAAATAAATTGACTCGACCCACTTCATCTTCCTTCACAACCATAGTTGAAACCCCTAAAGGCCTAAAGATCCTGAACCATCGGCAGCCACCACAGCCCCTAATATTGACCGTCAGCATCACTCCCCCCCCCCTCCCCCTCTCCTCCGAACCATTGTGTCACCATAAAGCCCTTTAAAGTTGCAACACCACCTTCACCTGTTTCCCTGCTTCTCGTTGCCTCTTGTTTTATCTATTTCATATTCCTTAAATGCCTAGTGTTTTCTAGCAGGCGATGCCCATCACCGTTAACCACTCCACCCTATCTGGCATCCTCTACTGCCTGCCAAACATAATGCACCGGCTGGTTGAAACACAGCTTGTGACCTGCTGTGCAGTAGTGGTGGAGGTAGACATGGGTGCTAAGTATATGGAAGGAGTGGGCGGGGCATTTCAAGGGTGAGGGCATGAGGCACAAGGCAGAATTGAAAGCAAGGTCTTTCTGCAGCTATTTTCATAAATCAACAAGTTGTTTTTTCCAGCAATTAAACTGAAAAGGATTCGTTTCCATTCTCCAAAACATAAGAAACGGAAATCTACAATGCCGAACAAACCTTAATCTACCATAAATTGCAAAGCATACCCAAGTTTAACAACAAGAAAACCATCTATACATTGTCATGCATTATCATTCATTTAATAAATTAACATAAACATACAACGAATTTGTGCAACATTGCTATCCCACCCGCCCAACAGCTCTAAATTGTACAATTTCAGAAAATCAAGCAATATTAATCTCAATTGTTTTATAGAACAAAGAATTTCGACAAGTGCAAGTACCTATAGCGAGTGTAATCGCCATGGCGCAATCCATGCTGCATTTGGGCAGACTTCAAGAGCTGTAAAACTAAAATCATCGCGAAAATCCATCCAAAAAATTAGAATTACAGGCGTTTCAACAATCATAATCCAACAAACGAAAAGAAAATTGATACAAGTATACCATTAATGGAGAATTTAGGTTGATCGGAACCAGTCGATTTTTCGATATCGATATCCATCGAAGAAGCTGAATCGTTTACTTTCGCCATTCCTTCAATCAAATTATCAAGGAATCAGATCGATAATAGGTGAAATTTGATGAAATTGGCAACCAATATGAATAAAATCTGCAATTAGGGATTCGATAAACCCTAATTTGCTGCGAATATGAAAGAAGTGATTGTCGCTACAATGTAACCGGAAAATAGAGTGTAAAATTTACCTTGATTGTACGGATTCTGGGAGCAACTGCAAGTCTGCAATGGTAGTGTTTAGAAAGAATTCTTTGACGATACACTACGATACTTGGGTCTTTTAGAATGATGATTAAAATAAAATTTTGCTCCGTATAGGATTTACAAGTGTTTTTAACCCGGCTACATTCGGGTTCAGCTCGATAGGAATCGGAACCAAAATCGAAGGGCTTGTATGATATCTTTTTTTTTTTTTTTTTTTCAGTTTTTTTTAAAAAAAATAAAAATTTAAAACAGGAAACAAGAAAAATATATATTCACTTTTTGGTTGTTAGTTTCCAAAATTATCGTGTTTTAAATCAATTTGACTAATTTTTTATTTATTATATGACATACTTCGTATATCATATGATTTTGAAAATCAAAAAACAAAAAACCTATCATATGATTTTGAAAAACAAAAACCAAAAAACATAAAAACACAGCAATGTCAAACGAGCCCGAAGTTACCGGATACAAATTTCATTTTGGGATAATCTCTATCTTTTTTTTTTTACTTAAAATTGATTTCATAAATAAAAAGACATACAACATTTTCAGTAAATTTATACTCGTATCTAATATATACATGACAATTGAATCAAATAAAAACATCATTTCAGCAAAACTACGATCGTTGTTGCAAGTCGTACATTCTTCATAGGAGTCTATCGATATGTTGGGACTACTCTATCATTGAAATTTTTATGGTACAGACAAAAAAAAAAAAAGCGGAAAGATCATATAGCTGTTTTGTAAAGAACATATCGTTGTTTTGTAAAGAACATGTAGCTGTTTTGTAAAAAACATCCAGGTTTATGTTTTTTTTGTATATATAAAGAACATCTGTAATCTTATAAAAAAAATGATAATATTATGTAATGAACATTATTTATATATACCCACCATAATCTAAAGACAAAATTAAAAAACATTTCACAATAATCAATGAACTCACAAATAAAAGTATGTTACACTGACAATCAAAGAACATGGACATATGTTCTTTTCACTCTTTTTGGTGAAAATATGTTCTTTTCACTCTAAGTATATGTTCTTACATTTTAATAGTATGTTCTTTTCACTATAGCTACATGTTCATTACATTTCTATAATGTGTTCTTTCCGCTTTTTTTTTTTTTTTTTTTTTAATGAAACGTCTGTACAATGCGCATCGTACAAGCGCCTGTAGGAACCTCACATTGCTATATCATTTTATATGTGGAGTATATATGTACTCCCTCCGTTTTTTTTTTTTAAATGCATCACTTGAGTTTTTGCACTATTCATATGTTACCCTTGACTTAATTTTATTACTATTATATAATTTATAAACATGGTCATGTAATATATTGTTGGATTTGTTACAACATCTACTATGATAGGCCTTTGTTTGGTTGACAAACAAATTCATGGGAATTTTGTTTTCTAGGAATTTAATATATGCATACTTGTTTGGTTGACAATAATGTAAGAATTGGAACTTCCCAGAAAGTTCTACTTCCTACAAAATGGAGGAATTAATTTACCTAGTCCCCCCTAGGTAAGTAGAACTTTCCATGGGAAGTGGAAATTCCTACATCTAATCAAACAATTTTTGGGAATTCCTAGAAATTACAATTTCATAGGTTTTGAGATTTTATAGGAATTCCTACATCCAACCAAACAAGGCCATAATATAATTTTGTTATAATTTTTACTAATATCTAATTAAAGATATTGATGGTCAAAGTTGTGCTTTGGCAAGTGTGAAAACTCAAGTGATGCATTAAATAATAATAATAAAAAAAAAAAGGGAGTACTTGAAAATTTATTGACAATTTATTTACTATGGAGTAAAAAATAAATCTAATGCAAAGTACTGTATATGATTTTGACTTAGATTATTTCATAGCTAGATAATCTCTAAGTAGATGCTCCAAAGTCCAAAGTTTAATTTATTTATCGAGGAAGATATGCTTATTTAAAAATTTGGAAAAAAAAATGGATAACACTCATTCACGACAATTTTTTAAATTTATTAAGTGTGTTGAAAAAAATATCCTCTGTTTTACAATTTATTTGTAGTCCTATATTTACGTATATCGACAGAAATTTTTTATCACAAATTTCTTTAATCAACCACTTGCAAAACGTTCTAACAATCGGACATTAATAATGTACTCATCGAGACGAATAAAACTAGATTTCATGTATGACTATGTTTTTTCTTATATATAGAGAGAAATTTAGAAGATTCCCTCTAATGTTCAATAATCAAGAGATTCTAGATGCATGGGACTAACTAGACTTGGCAAATGGGTCATTTGGGTCAGGTATGGGTCGGGCTAATTAACATTCGGGTTGAGTATGGGTCGGGTTGGGTCATTTCGGGTTTCGGGTATGATTCGGGTCAGGTATTGGGTCGAGTTCGGGTCGGGTCGAGTCATTTTCGGGTCAAGTATGTTCGGGGTCGGATCAAAATCTCGTTAGGTCATGTTCGGGTTGTTCCATTTGTGTATCAAGCTCAAATCAATAATTTTATATTTTGTTACTGTTATAATAACTAAGAATTATCAATTCGGTTTATGAGGTTGGCTACGGTTGAAGATGAACAATTTGAGTTATTTTTGACACCAGACATTTTTAGTTCAATTATAAAGTAATTTTAGTTCGGGACATTTCGAATATCGGGTTTGTTTGGGTCAATTTCGGGTATCGGGTGATTCGGGTCAAATATTTCGGGTAAATTTCGAGTCAGGTCAACTTCGGGTCGGGTCAGTTCGGGTGTCTGGTCAACTCCATTTTCGGGTCGGGTATGGGTCGGGTCAATTTTGGGTTTCGAGTCATTTACGGGTCGATGTTTTTGGGTCAATTTCGAGTCATGGGTTGGATCATTCGGGTCGGGTCATCGGGTTTGGGTCAGGATTGCTAGGTCTAGGACTAACAAACGGATTCAGAGAGAGTAAGACATTTACTGTTTTTTTTCTAAATGATTGGAAATAGATGTGTTCCCCTTGGATTGATTTATGATTTGGCCTGAGATAACATTTTTTTATATAGGGTTTTGCAATTGGTTCTAGGTTATGGTTACCCGAGTAGTGGAATTGATGTTGACAAACTACCCAAAAGTTTTTGATTTTGAAAATTTGAAAACCTAAATCAGAACATATTGCAATGAGTTCACAATTTTGTTCCTCAAAACTAAAACCTGCAATGTAGGTTTGATCTATATTTTGCAATTGCAAGTTCCTAATAACATGTTTCTATTCCAATTCCAAGTACATGATTTTTTTTTTCACCCCTTTATCCGAAAGTGGGCTTATATGCATGATTAATTGTGCATCGTGCATTTTAAAAACACAAAAATCTCACCTCGGCATTCTTTTTATTATATAAATTAAAATCAATTAAAATTTTGAATGATTAAAGTTGTTGCACTCTTGTTAGAATAATATACTCATCTTATCTTACACTATCATTATTTTCTTGTGAAAAATGAGAAACAATGACTGTAATCTGTATCAAGAGATGGAGGGAGTAGATATTTGTATTGTGAATTTAAGATAATACTTCTTCCGTTTCATATTAATCATAACACTATACCTTTGCATACGTTTGTTTCAAATCACTTTCTTGAAGAATTTCCAATGGTTGTAACTACATATTTTTTCGCAATTTTCAAAATTTTCTAAATTGACCATTGAACCTAAATTATGAAATTAGCTTGGCCAATAAAATTTTGTCGCCCAAAGGTAATTTTCTTGTAGTGTAATTAACCTACTAAGTTTTGAATGGAAACCAAAGTTAGTAAAAAAAAAAAACTTATAAATTTAACTCAAGATATGTAATTATATTGAGATGTTTAGATGTATCCTCAAATATAAGATAATAAGTAAATTTTGATGAGTGAGAAACAATTAAAGAATTAGCGATTCTAATTTTACATTTGATAATCCTACTTCTCAACCCGAAGAAAATTGAAAGATAAAAAAAAAAAAAAAAAAAAAAGGCAAGGTAATTATTGTTTTTGTTTGGGAAAAGAGAATAGTATTAAAAACCGAAATCGTGCATGGAGAAATTCAATCAATTGAAAATTGTACTAAAGAGAGGAAAATAAAGTTTATTTGTGATAAATGTTGACATATTCAGCAAATAAATAAAGGAAATTGTAGAGAGATTTTTTTATTTTTTTATTTATTTTTTTATTTTTTAACATATATGGAAAACTTCTAAATGGGAACAATTTCTTCAACATTACTTCCTTCGTATTTTATTAATTGCTCCATTTTTCCTACACATGTATGTCGATGCAAATTTTTGATCAGTCAATGTATAAATTATAGCAATTGAAAATTACTCCGTATAATCTACTCATTAAGACAATTTCAACAAGTTAAGATTTTTTTTTTTAAAGAAAAATGGAAATTAAAAATCCAACCTTTCACTAGTCTTCTCTAAAAAATCCAACCTTTTGATTATTCCATAAAAATCCAACCTTTAAACAGGTTAAAATAATTTTTTTTTTTTTATTTTTTTTTTAAATTCACTCTCCTCCTACCTCTTGTCCTCCCCATCCCCCTTCTATGGCAACCATTATAGCCAACACCCAAAAACCACTTGTTGCTTCCAGCCACCTGCGTTGCTGCCTTGAAACCCCAAGCCCCACTCGCCTGCCGCCCCGAAACCTCTCATTCTCACCTCGCCGCAACCGCAACTCCTTGCTGCCGTCTACCGCGTACCACCAGTCATCACCAAGCTCCCTTGCTCCTTCAATCTCACCGCATCCCCACAACAACTACCCGCAGTCACCCTCACACACTCCCACCAAAAATACCCCACAATCACCGCCCAAAGTCGCAGCAGCTGCCCTTGTAAACCACAAACCTGCTCCCCACCGCAACAACCACCATTCGCTGCTCGGAACCAACACCAGAAAACCACCTAACTACCCGGAAACCCAAACCCGACCCAGAAAACCTAGCTACCCCTGCTCAACTTCAATCAAATTCCAGCCATCGACTCCACCACCTCAATGTCACAACCGAAGCAGCAACGACCACTCATAGATTGTAGCAGCAACAGAGCAGCCCTCACAACACCGCAAGCTCCGCCGCGACCAACGTAACACCAGCCACTAATTCAATTT